TAGCACAAAATGAGATCTTACAGTTTACGCCGCTGAAAAACAGGATCAATTGTGGCAGGAAGGATGGGACTTATGCAGATATAGTGAAGTAGAGCGATGACCCATTCTTAGAGAGACAACATATAACATCAAAGATAGGTCAAACTCTGTGGATCAAGTGTATTCGTCTATTTAAATGACATGTACAGCCAATCTTCACGCAATACATAATCTCGATTCGACAGCCCATCACGCAGAGAGAGCATCAAGTCATGTGTATGTGATCACCAGGACTCCGCACAAGAACACCCCCCGTATTGTAATATGCGACTGCCACAACCGCCTGAAGTGGCCAAGCGCATTTACATAATAACTTCACATACAAACAATAAAGCAGTTGGTACGTTACAAACAAGCGCGCAACAAATTGAGAACACATCAAACATAGCGCCACACAGCAGACTTTGGCCACAGAAAAAAAGTAAATCAACAGCTGTCGGACTTGGTATATGGTTAGTAAACTGTGCTATCCAATTTCAAGGTGAATTTCCGATGTCATTGGTCGTCTGGGAGATCAGTGGGCCACGTTCGTACTACCTCGTACATCAACATTTGACATAAGAATTCAAGTAAACTTGACCCAGAATTACAATCAAGGCATTTTCGAACATGTATGGCGAACATGTATGGAACAACCACTGGCGTCAGTGGCAGCACTACAAGCACACCTGAAATTATTGCAATAGACACTAGTGCAATCTCACACGGAATATAAAATTTACACAATCGAATAAGCATGTCATTGGCAAGTGAACACAGGCATAAATGCCAATCCATGGAACAATTAATGCACACATTCTCACTGCCGTTAATCTTGAAGCATGACCACAATAGTGACAGATAAATGGACTAGACGCACCTGTGAGTAGTCTGCGGCTATCAAAAGCATTTGTGCCTCAGAAGGATACCCGAAGGCCAAGCGGACGTTCAAGAGCTCGACGCTGAATATCGAAAGAATAACAGTATAAACTCAGGGAATTGAATAATATTTCATGCCAATACTGTAGGCAAAACTGAGTACCAATCAGGGGGTTGCACTTGTACTGGGTGAGGTATGTGCTCGGTGCGAAGTATAATTGCAAGCTTGCATTAACAATTGATGTGAAACTTAAGGGCGTTGCGTGTCAAGGTCTCATACGCAAAGGGGCGCGAAGCAGACACCACTTGAACCACGGCAAGCAAATCATAAGAATTTAGCAATTGTCAATATCTATCCATTTGGTCGATAGCTTACCATAAAAAGCAAAATCGTTGCACAATGGCCATAATTCATGTACACGATGCGTCACATGCTCAGAATAGCGAGTACACGGTCAACTATAATGCATACCGCATTTTTAGTTACGTAGTTCCGAAATATGTATACATCTGCATGTACATAAACATAAATAGCGTATATTGTCTCAAGATATTCTCACTCACTTTTTGGGTACTTCAGCAGGTGCAGGCATGGCCAGGGCTGCGTCATCATCGCGTGAAGGGTGTAGTCGCTCCAGTTGGTCCACATCACACAGGTCGATGGATCGCGGCAGGTTCTGGACACAAGTACGTTATAGGTCAACGTTAGTACTCGTGGCAGGCTCTGAACCCATATACGCTCTAAATTGAGGTTGTTGGTCATGGTAGATGGTACATATACATTACAAGTAAATATTGATATCTGTGGCAGATTCCAGATATACAATACAAGTAGACATTGATAGTTGTGACAGATTCTAGGCAAATATTCAGGTAGTTGACATTGATGGCTGTGGTAGGTAATGTACACATTAATTGTAGATAGATCTCGAAACACGTTGCCGATTCCCGACGCATCGAGTCACCTTCCTTTCGATATTTCATCAATGACCTATAGATCTGAATCATCTACTACCTTTTTTATAAGATTAGTAAAACCTTAACGTTAATCCTCGATCCCCTACCTGTAGACTAGTGAAAACTCAAATGTTAATCCTCGATACCTTACCTGTAGGTTAGGTTCGGCGAATATGATCCGCCCTGTGGCAGTGCGCAAAAACCCGTTCGAGTGCAGACGAGGTGACGAACCGCTGTACGTAGCCATGAGAGCATCACTGAAAGATGAATCAGTTCAGTGGAAGGCTGTAGCAGCTCATGCGCGTAAAGGTTTTCTCAGTTTAACGCTAAAGATATCTGTTGATACGAAGATTCCCTAAAGGCGCATCGCTGTTGTCACGTAAAGCATACGTTATATTTTTTGATCGCCATCCTTCATGCGGAGATGCACAATACCAACGCAACTAGACCATGTGAACATCAAATTATGACAATCTACCATTGCCGTACAACTGTATCTATATGATTCTATATTGCATACATACAATTAACTGGAAAGCTGGTTAAAGTGCAGCCTGGACCATGTGTATTCGCAACACGAATGTGCCTTTAACATGCATAAACACTGACAAATCCAGAATAAACAAAGAAAAAATGTAGCTATCAGAGAATTCAAGACTGCAATGTACGACGCGTCTCGTATCACCAGAAGCAGTAGATAAATTTTCCACAATAGTGGCCCTCTCATTTAGGTATTGCTGAACATCCGATGGCCCAACACACTTCAAGCATTGGGAATTCTAATGCAGGCTGTCACATATTCCGCTTACTCCACAACTATAGTATGCAACCTATATACATACATACATATTNTATATATATATATATATATATATATATAATAATATAACTAATAACTAACTAACTATACACAACCAACCAACCAACCAACCAACCAACCAAC